TAAAGTGGCTAGGGGATTTGAACCACTAAGCCATTGGTACTATTAATTATATGTTGCAAAATGTTATATATAAATGAACCAAGGTCCTAAAAAAAGTTCACTAACATCATGATGACTTATTATAACCATAAATTAAACTTGTAATTTTAGTAGTGTATAGTTTATTAATTCATCAAAAGGAACCTGTTAACAATCTCATTTGAATATCCAATTGTTCTATGCTATGAAAGTGCACAGGTCATAATAAATAATGCAATATGAATAGAGTATCATTCTCACATAGACTTGCATTGTGTTAAAAGTATGATCAAGCAAAAGATATTGCAAATAACTAAATTGAGCAAAGCAGAATTAGTTGGGCAAGATTGGTTGCTTCAATTATATTAAAACTAGAAAATAAAGAAAAGAAAATTATTCTTATACTAATCCAGAATGAAATGGAACTTTGGATTATTTGTTTCCCTTGCATTTAGTGTGTAACACTAAAATTACATCCTCTTATAAATGTCCATAATAAAAATAATTGCTAACCTAGGGTTCTAAAAATACTTTTTTTTTTGCCAAAGAGTTCTAAAATACTTGAATAAGCTCTTGATCATTATCAATTTTTAATTTCATTAATTGCTCTCTTGTTACAATTAACAAAATCCAATTTTTAAGTTTCAACCCTAATATGGCTATACAAGGTTAGAAAATATATCTATATCTTGCTAACAAAACTATCTATTCATCATGCAAACTCAAGTTTTTGCACTATTTTATCCAAGATCTACACTCAAGCTAGTTAGCCTTCTCAAGCATCACTCAAATGAACAAAACATCTAAATTATGGCCAATCATTTAGAAGCATTAGGAGAAGAGTAAAATAAACACTTACATATAATTAATCACAAAAAAGATAGGAGAAAGTTAGTATTAATTAATTCATGCAAGCATTCAAAATAAATTTAGAAACAAATGTGTTTAGCTACTCATAAACATCCAAAAGCTACAAATATACAAAATATTTGAGTGATTTTTGTCTGATTTGTTTTTTCTTATTTGGTTTGTTCTCTGCACTTTTCCCATTTGGTGTAGCCATTCACCTTTTTATCTGATTTTTTTTTTCATGTTAGACTTTACAAAAGCATCAATAAAGAACTAAAAAATACAACAAAAATAGTAGAAATTGTGCCCAAAACTATCAATATAAAGTCAAGTGTGCAAAACCAAATATATAAGATGCACATTTGCTCCTAATTTGGATGTTCAAAATATTGTCAAAATATATTAAAATCCAAGAAAATTGTGCTGAAATAACATAAAATTCTAAAAATTATTAATAATAAAAATTTTAATTTTAAAGCATAGACATATATTCTTAAGTTTAAATTTAATTTCAAAATTAAAACTATTTTATTTTTAAGGAAAAAACAAAAAGGAGCCCAAAAAAGTTGCCCGAGCCCTTTTTTCAGGGCCGAGCTCCAAAGTCTGATTTAAAAAAAAAGTTAATTTTTAAAACCCAAACACTCATTTCCTATTGGTGGTAATCTAAAGTAGAATGAGAACTTGAAATGAACCATAAAAGTATGTTTTGACTTTTGAAAACCATGTGAAAGTAGTTTTACTACATTTTTAGAAGCCATACATACTTCCATGCTTAAAGAGTGTTGATAAAGATATTTGTATAGATTACTCATTAATAAGATTATCACATTACATGGTAGCAAGATTTAAACTTATTAACCTATTTACAAGAAACAAGTTATATTCTAAAAGGTAGTGATAATTATTACGTTTAAAGCAAAATTCCATGATATCATTGTTCTGATGTAGAGAAACAATTGCGTACGCAAGTCGCTAATGAGATAAGGCGATCATTAGAAGTAAGTAATTATTGCCTTCTGTGTCTTTTGCGTTCAGAAGATTAGTTTAATTTGAATGTCATAAATCAATAGTTTCCTAGAGTTTTATCGTCTGGCTAGCAAGTCAATCTTTCCCATGAAACAACTTCTTCTTCTTTTCTTCACCCCAGACACTATGAGTGTATCCTCCACTTCCTATCTCAAACCACCAAGCAGAGCCATAACATACTCATTACAATAGAGATCATTCAATGATTCATAAATAAAATTACATGGCTTCTGTTAAACAAGTTTCCCTTTCATTACGAACTCTCCTCATGTCTTCCTTCTTGGCTTCTGTTAAACAAGTTTGTTCGCTAACATCTACAACGCCAGAAACTACAAATACGTCAACCTAGGTTGCTTATCTGACTCTGGCAATGGCCAAAACTTCTAAACTTAACCTTGCTGGCCAATGTGACGCCACGGCCAATATTCATACCAAATTTAGGACGGATATCAAAACTTGCCAAAATAAGAGCATTACAGTGCTTCTCTTTCTCTCCACGGAAGCAACAGAAGTCACTCCCTCAACTGCACCAATAAAGAGAGAATTAGAGAAAAGAGAAGCTCAAATAAAGGGAACAATTCAATATTCAACTCAATTTCTTCAAAACTAATTTGAATACAATTGAGAAACTCTAAGATTATTTATGGAGCCCAAAAATATTAAAATAATAATAAATGAAATTTTAACATAATCCTAAAAGATAATAACAAGGACAGTCTATATTTATATATTTAGGTATCCTATTTATTGGAAATAAACAATATCTAAAATAATCATAAATAATATAGATAAGAAAATCTAATTAAACCCTAAAGAATCTAATAGAGATTCAATATCCTTATTCAAACAATCTTAATAGAATAATCCTAAATATCTAAAATAAAACTAATTGAATCTCATCCATATTCCACCAACAATCAAGTTCACTGCTGCTTGGTGATGCACGATTTTGGATGGCATCAATTTTGATATCGTTGCGGGTTCAAACCAGCATTGGTATGATCTAGCTAAAGCTTTGAAGGACTTGGACCAGTAGTCGATCCTCTCCGCTGCACTGCAATGTACATTCCCATATGCCCTCTTGTGCTCGGCGATCAAAACCTACTTGTACGATTACGTTTGGGTTCAATCTTTTAACAACCCCCCATGCAGTATACTGATGGAAATATGACCAATCTTGTGAATGCATGGACCCAATGGACCAGCATGCAAGTTATGAAGTAGGTATTCTTGGGCATTCTGACATCACCGAATGCGGCTAACATTGGTAGGTTTATTTCCGCAAACGTTCTGACGTCTCAAGTTCTTCTAGCTCTCAAAGGGTCTTCTAAGTATGGCCAAAGTGGATATAGCAAAGCCATTAAAGATAATGTCTAATGAACTACTCAAGAGTGTTAGCTTTTTAATTGTCAGTTGATCACTGAAACTGCTGTCATTGATCATGTCCTACTTCTGTGATAGATATACCATAAAAATAATTAATAAAATTAATTAATATATTTCTAAAATAATATAATTTTAATTTCTAATTTATATTTATGCATATGAAAATAAAAATTATTCATTAGAAAGGTCCTACATCCATAAGAGGATTCAAACCCTTATCTTGGTATGAATTACATCTTTAATTTGCAGTGGGGACTAGCCATAGTGGATATAATTTCTTAATTTCTATTTATATTTGTTAATTTGAGTTGATCCTAGTGTTTTTAAAAATTTATGGCAAATATACGTCTTTAGTGATTTAATATTTCACAACTTTTGTTGTAATCCCTTAATTTTATAAAGTGTTTTTTAAATCCGTTAATCCTAATACAGTTAGTGTTATTAACAAAAAATGCTGACATTAAATTTTTAAAGGTTGACAAAATATTCTCCAATAGTGAAATATTAAGTTTTTTTTTAAGTGACAATGACTGGCATAAAATGTTTTTATTTAACTAATGGGTGAGAATTAGAGGACTAAAAAATTTCATAAAACTAAATATCCAAACTGAAACCTTACATAAAGTTAAAGAATTAAACTAAATATCCAATGTGTCTCACATTATATTGGTCATTTAATTTTTATTTATAATCTGTTATCCTTAACTTTACATCAAATTTTCACTATTCTTTCTTCTTTTTTATTTTAATTTCATTTATTAAAAATTTTATTATGCTTCATTTTTCCCCTTAATTTTACGTTGTTTCTTGTGTTTCATTAATTTTGAAAAATAAAATAATATTTTATTTAGAAATTAATGAATACACTTTACAAGAAAAATATTTGAATGCGTTGTTGGTAATGGATGAAAGTGAGATGTAAAAAAAAAACAGTGAAATGTAAAAATAAAAAAAAATTTAGCATTAAGCAAAGAGATATAGTATGAAATAAAAAGTAAAAATATGGGGAATCCGAAAAATGCATATTGAACCAGACCCTACACACATACACACACAAATTTATCGCCAATCTTACCATAAGATTACTTGAAGTCATAAAAAATTAATGCATTTATGATCCTCACCAAATAGAATCTATCAATTCAAATACGTTTACAGTTCTTCTGTCTATTCTTTTCACATTTTGAAAGCCGATGCATCACAACCTTGCTTGAAATTTTTTTAATACGGCTTTATTTTTTACAGACATTTTTTTCCCTACGAATTCTCAACAAATTATATTAGAAGCCAAAGTCTCAAGTTTGAATTCAAATGGCTCAAAGAAAAAAAATGTTCGAAAAAAAAATGATATCAATGAAAAGATATAGGTTCCAATACTTCCATTAAAAAAGAAAAAAATGTTTTCCTTAATGTATGGATATTATTTTATGTATTTGTAATTTTTCAACAAGATCTTGCTGTGAAAGGAATGCCGTGTTTTGATGGGCAAAGAGGACTTTGACTTCTTCTTCTTCTTGTCATTTTACATGGGACTGAAAATTCCTCAGAAGAAAATAATGAACGTGATAAGAACATACCACTTGAGTCATGAGTGATGGTGGTAGTTACGGAAAAATTAATCATGCTTTTAATATAATATTTATCTTTCTTGAAGGGAAAGACTTGTGTTTATGAAGTCTCCAATGACATTTTTTGCTCCGTGTCACTTGAGCTTGACTTGAGCATATTCCTTTCATATTATTTAGTCAAGGGCTCAAGGCTGTCAAACTGTTCATATTAATAATGGTGAGGATTTCTTGTTAAATTTTAGTTACCTCAAACATTGATTTGGTCCTTTAAATTAAATTTTTATTGCTTTGATACCTAATATTTTTTATAATTATCATGTGAGTCCTTCAAACTTTAAAACACAAACTGAGTCTCAAATTAATTAATCTAATGTGTATTAATTTTAGTTGTGGCTTGTGAGACTTTTTTCTCTAATATTTCTCCTATTATTTTATCTCCATTTTCTGCTTATTCTTTTTGATGAGCTTGCTTGAGTCTCTTGGGTCTCAGATTTTTTTTCTTATCTTCTCATTTATTTCTTCTTTTTGCTGGTTTTTTTCTCAGCCCTCTGTTTCTTTTTTCCTTTTTTTGTTTTCTCTGTTCCTTTCTTTTTTGATGTATTCCGAATTGATTAGCTCTTGATGTCATGCCAAAAAAGCGATATACATAAGACTCATTGGAAATATGCATCAATCATTCATCTAAATAATTGTAATTAAAATAAATTCAGCATGGCAACTCAAAACTCTTTCTATTTTTTTTTCCTTCACAAAATACTACAATCACGTACATCGAATTTACTTAGATGATAAAAAAATCTATACAAATGTGTTTACGTTTTAGCTAGAAAATTACGCACCTAGCTCACACTTTCCCAGAGACGATGAACAAGAGCTCAGCTAATGTTAAGACGTGTGTGAAATGCCTCTCTTCCACCCCTTTTCCTTTAACTCACGAAGGGCAAACAGGTCATTGTCCTTCAACCTTATTTACGGTTAAGTCCCCGGAACCTCACAGCTATTGCCTATTTGTGCATTTAGTGGGACTTTTAAATGTTTAGAATAGTTATGTGGGATTTTAAAGTGATTTTCCATAGGTTGTTAAAATAAGTTGTTAAAACTTGAATGAATATTTGTTAATAAAAAATTAACCCAAATTGACAAGCATCAATTTGATTTTTGATAACAAATAATCTTTAACTAATATAAATTTCCTTCAAAAATCTTTAATTGATATTTTCCCTTCGTTGAATGCTCTTATAGGGTAAAACTACCAATTCATTAACATAGTCTTCTTGTCAACCTTTGGTGTCAGCCAAACGCCGAAACTTAAGCTTGGCATCCACTGCCATCCTGACGGCGACACCTGCACCGTCCTTAGCTCCGAGATTAATGCCAGCCAAAGTCAATGGTATCAAAGTGCTTCTCTCCCTCGGCGGTGTTTCTAGACTCTACTCTCTGAGCTTTGCCAATGATGCCAGCCAGGTTGCTCAATATCTTCGGGACCACTTCCTCAAGAGAAAGTTCTGACTCAAGGCCCTTGGGCAACATCGTTTTGGATGGCGTCAACTTCGACATTAAGACTAGCAATGGGAAGTACTGGGACAAGCTGGCTAGAGCTTTGAAGAATTTTGACCAGCAACTGATTCTCTCGGTGGCACTGCAATGTCTGATAACCCCATAAATCTGTTAGTTGGACTCTGCAATTAAAACGGGGTTCTTCAATTATATTTGGGTTCAGTTCTACAACAACGCTCCGTGTCACTACAATGGAGAGACACTAACAATCTTTTGATCACTTGGAACCAATGGACCGCCGTGCAGGCCGATCAGGTGTTCTTGGGGTTCCAGCATTGGTGGGTGTGGCGACAAACGATGGGTTTCTTCCAACGGACGTGATGATTTCTCAGGTTCTTCCAGCATTCAATCAGTCTTCCAAGTACGGTAGAGTTATGATCTAGGACAGGTCCTTCTCTCTCAAAAGAGCATATGGTGACGTCATTAAGGCATCAATATAAGTGTTTATCTATGTACCTAGCTTTGAACTCGAAACTTCTAATTAAGAGGGATCAACTTATTATCAGTTGATCCATGGCTAGTGACAGTCTTTACTTTATAATATGTGGGAGATTGGTAGTGTTTGTTTCTACGCACGTATTATGAGTGAAATAAAATTCACGTTCGCATGTAAAAGATGAATTTGAAATAAATAATAAAATGAAGAGTTTCAATTTTGACTTTCATCTTGATCGGATTAGTGCGTTATCACGTAAATAATTCAGTAAAGCAAAGTAGATTATGTATGTCAACATTTATCATCGTCTGTGACTGGTTTAAAACTAAAATGAATGGGGGAAAAAGTAATAACAAATATATTGTGACACCAACAGAGTTTTAATTTCTCAAAATTGTATAACATAGCTAAGCTATTCCATCTAACTGAAAACATATTTACAAATGAACTCTCTTATCTTTTTTTAATTCAAGGATGGCTATAACATAGGCTTTTTTTTTCCCTTTATGCATAGGCTATAGTAGTTATTAAGACAAGAAAAATGAGAATGAAGCTCCAAGTCTTTAAAACTTTAAACTCTTGATTCCAACTCTTCCAATATAATGCCCGAGTCATAGCTAAACAATGCCCCCAAAGTGCCTTCAAGGAGAAAGTAGATTTTTTTTTTTTAGTTTTGATTATAACAAAGTTAGATAATATTTGTGCATTTAACATGTTTAATTTACTCAGAAATATGGTCAGGAAGTAAGTTTGATGGCTTAAAATTCCTATCTCTTCATTTTGTCAAGCTCTTGAATGGATTTGGTATTCAAAGTTAATACGCACATGGATCTACATGCTTACATGTGTTTCAACTTCTGCCATATTCTCATACACTTGTGAATCAATATGCGTGCACACGTGTTTCATCTTATGTCATATTTTTCAAATCTTCAAAGTTTTGTTTTGATTATTCAAAGTGTCTATGCCTTTGTGGTTAAGTTACTCTAAACTTTGAATTTCTGTTTGAAAAACTTTGAAGTTTCTATGGCCTTTGTTATTTCATTGTCAGTCTTCGAAGTTTGAGTAGCTTTTGTGCATCTCTCAAATAAGTTTCCAAGTTTGTATGGCTCTTCAAGAAGTTTCTATACTGAGAATATTTAGTCCCTTCTAGTTTAAACTTTGAAGTTCTTCCTAAACTTTGAGGTTTCTCCATGTCATGTTGTTTCTCTAAGCTCTCAAGCTCAAATTTCAAAGTTTCTCTAAAACCTTGAAGTTCTTTCCTTCAAAACTTCTCTATTGATTTTAAAATTCTTTGAAGTTTCCTCTCGTGATTCCTAGTTTCTACTTTTGCTTCAAAAATTTCAAAGTTTTCCTCTCTAAATGTATTGGCAATTATTTTGAACTTATTTGTCATGCCAAAAAATAAAAAAATTAGATGTGACCAGCATGAAATATATACACAAACATACATCCCTTAAGCTTTGATTAAGTAAAGTTCTTAATCAATGCATTTGATACACTATTAGTATGATTATATGTATCTAATTTTATTTTTCATATAAATCAAATATTCAATCTTTTTATAGAAATTTTGACAGCACTTTCCCTAAAAGTAGTATCTCCTAAAATCTTTAGAACATAAATTTTACAATATACATCTAGCAATACGGAGCTCTTCTGCTTAGCAACAAATAGACAACATTACAAAAGAGAATTAGGACCCTAACTATAATCAATGTGGAGCATTCTAAATGGTATTTCCAAAACATACTACATAGATTTTTGAATTTACATAATAAGGAAGGTATTCTCACTATTAATCTTTTAGTCAATTTAGCAATAAACCCGCCAAAGGTTAGTTGGAGATACCACATTAGCTACAATTTGAGGCCAAATAAAATACTTTTCAGTGAATAACATCCAAACTATGACATTTTATAAAATTAAAATGAATAAAATATAATAGATACATAAATTAAATGAGAAAGCAATTCAATGTGAACAAAATTGTTAACTTGAAATAAAAGTTCTATATAACTTTAATGATAAGAACATTTAAATCTATAATGACAAAGCATCTTTAACATTTGATCTTGACAAATCAAAATAATTAATTAAATAAAGAATAATAAAATTTACTAAATTAAAAACTATTATGTATGAAATCACCAATTAATTAAAAATTCATATATTTTTAGGGATTTATCATAACAATTCACAAATGTGAACATGCAGTTCTTGAGGGTAAATAACCAAACATGACTTATGCCACAAAGACAAACATGAATACACAGTCTACGAGTGTAAGTAACCAAATGCAACTTGCGCTACAAAATAAATGTGGACACACAGTTTATGATGGTAATACTAACCAAACGCAGCTCAAAGCCACGAAAACAAATGTAGGTGTTAAACTTATGAATAACAAACGTGAGAACAGAGCTCATGAAAATCAAACTAGCTAGTTATTAAGCATGGCATGCCAAAGGCTAACGGAATTACCGTTAGCAACCAGTGTTCCATATAAAATTCCCTCCAAATTCATTTTCAAACACGTGAGAAAGTCATTACTATTAAAATATAATTTTCATTCTCAAAATTAAACTCGCATGAATAGTTTTAATCATCAAAACTTGCTAGGATAAAATTTCATAACTAATTTCATGCTTGCATTTATGGGAAAACCAAAATAACTAGGGCTGATAAAAATAATTTCATCAATTTGAAAGTATCCTTTGTAAGGAAAAACATATACACATGTCATAATTCAAATATCCTTCAACATCTTTTTATAATTTCCCAAGACAAAAGCAATATTAATTAACAAAGGTCATCAAATAAGATTGTAAGTAATTAAAATTTCTCGCAACCCAAACTTCAATCTCAATCCCAAATAGGTCATCAAATAGCTTATAAATAATTACCATGATTGTTAGAGTTGAATAAGATTAGCCAATTAGACCAATAACTAGCCTTTTGTCTAGTCCAACCAACCATAAGAACTAGAGGAAAAGTGAATTAACCAAGATAGAGGTGGTCAAAACCAATGAAAATTGATCAAAAATCAATTTTTCACTTTTTTGTTTTTAAAAAATGTCAATAGCCCAAACAATACTACTTCTAAACATGTGATTATTAATTAATTAATATTTTCAATTCAACTATCTTTCATTTCCTACTCTAGCTAGCTCTATATCCGTTGTTCTACTTCTAAACTTGTGTTCTAGTGATAACTTTTTTTTTTTTTAAATATTCATAAGTCAAATTTTGCCTCAATGTTGGACTCCACAATGCCACCACATTTTAGAGCCAATGTCCCTAGTGCCTCTACTCCATGATACTTCACTTAGCCTCCTATTAATTGAAACCCTCTGTAAGTAGTCATTTCCTTGAATAGTCATATCAACCTCTCATCAATAACACCAATGTATGAGAATAAATTCAAAGGGAAAGCTCATTCCAAGAGACTAACCTATCAAAAGAGAAAGCATATTGAACTACTTATAAACCCCATGCATATTGAGCTTCTTGATGTTGGGCTCATAATATTATCTCTCATGGAAGGTTTACAGGACAATGAAAAAAAATCATCAACATCATTATCAATGTATAATATAAAAATAAAATCAAGAAGTTCTGTTGTAACACTTTTTATCTAACCTCGTTTTGAGTAATTAAATATACAAGCATGTGTGATGGTGAAAATTAATAGCAGAATGACATTTAAGGCCTTCAAGGGAATTTATTGTAATAAGAATCCATCAGTTTTGCATTCGATATTGTCTTATGAAAACATGCATGTGCTGTTAAAAACTAAACTTACTTGTTAAATTTCTAAAAAAACCCTAACAAAAAATACAAGTTAAGGTTAAGCTTTTAATAACATTTACATGTTTTTAAAATTAACTGTGATCAATCAAATAGGCTCTGAATAATAATTTTGAATTAATTACTCTTCTACTCCAATTTAAAAGATCATACTCATTGGTTCTTCAATAACTTTACAAAATTTAATAAAATATTTACAACTCACTTTTTTAAAAACCCTCTTGTCTATCTTTAACTTCTAGCTTAATTGATAGCTTTTCCATCCTTTCTCCCTTCCCTAATGAACTACTCTATCAATCAAAGGGGGTGGTTTTGAAATGTTGTAAACTAAATGTTTTTGTGGGCATTTGACTAATTGTAACTTATTTTTTTAATCTCATGAAAATAGTTGACAAGGACTAGCTTCTTATAATAAAGACATAAGTATTGGAATTCAAATTTTGAATTCCAATCTATTCAACTCTTCAATGACAAAAGTGGAATCAAAATTTCTCCCAAACCAAACTTCAATCTCAATCCCAAATAGGTCATCAAATAGCTTCAAAATAATTACCTTGATTGTCAGAGTTGAATAAGATTGGCTGGTCTAACTGATAACTAGCCTTTAGTCTAGTTCGGCCAACCATAATAATCAAAGGAAAAGTGAATTAACCAAGACACAAAGTTAATCAAAACCAATAATGAAAATCATAAAACTGATCAAGAATTAATATTTCATTTTTTAAATAAAATCTCAATAGCCCAAAACAATAATATTTTATGTTTTTATATGTCTTGTGATTGGTTTGTCTTTATTGTTACATATATATATATATATATGATGAGGATGATTCAATGGTAATTTTTATTAATTATGAAAG